AATTTTTTTCTTAAAAAAATAAAAAAAAAAAAAAAAAAAATTTTCAGTGCTTGCAACAAGTACAAGCATTAAAATATAATATAACTAATTGAATAAAAGTTTTTGAATGAAAAAAAAAAAAAATGGAATATAAAAAGTTTCGTTTATTAAATTTCTTCTAAAATTACGGTACGTTAATATTTAAAAAGAAAAAAAAAAAATGAAAGAAAAAAATCGGCACGAAGAATGAACTCACCTGATTGTTCGGAAAAGTGCCATCCTTATCGATCGCGTTGACTTGAGTAACTTTACTACCGACTGGCTCACCCTCGAGCACAGTTTCTTGCTCACGTTCGGTGAACAAAGGTATTTCGTCGTTAACATCCTCCAGGACGATATAGACGGTCGCTTCAGAAGCGAGTTGTTGGGCACCATTGTTCTACGAAAGAGGATTAACTTTATCTTGGGTGTACCTCCCGTTTTCTATTTCATTCCTTTATTCTTTTTTCAATTCTAACGAGAGATAAGTGTATTTCGTTGAAGTTTAGAAAAATAATTACGGTAAAAGAAAAGGGAGAGGGGGGGGAGAGAATTGTGCCAAGAGAAATTTCTAATTGAAAATGATAAAAAATGTTCTTGTTCCGAGAAAATAAAAAGAATATTCCGTTTAATAGAACGGAATTAAAAGATTGTCCAAATTGAAACAATCCAATCTCGAATAATGATTGGATAATTTTTAAAATAAATCGCTTTAAATTACGTGCATGAATGGTAATAATTATTATATATTTTTCGAATTCCATCGCGAATTCATCATCCTGATTAATTCGGCAAACTCTGAAATGAATTCTTGGCGAAGCAAGTGGAACGACAGAAAAGTCATCCCGGTGACTGAATAATTAACATAGAAATGACAAAGAGTATATTTCACAATTGCACAGAGAGATAGCAGCACCGCAGAAATACGAAATAGTGGGGTAAAAATAAAAATAATAGCACCGTTCGTAAGCGGATTTTCAAATTGCTTCGTTGTCAGTTTCTAAATGGATTAAAGAGCATCGGTCATTAAGGAGATTATATTTTATGACTACTCGACAATTTCGAAAGAGAATACACCCGCTGTGAAATTTATTATCACTCGTATTCAATATCGAACTCGAACTCGTGTGGCTTTTAACCAAAAAAAAAAAAAAGGAAAAAAAACTATAACGTAATTATACCTTTCAATTCATTTTACGTCGTACTATTTTAGATTTAAAGTTTTGGAATAGAAAGAAAATTAGAAAGAAAGTGAATTCTTTTTTTTTATCCGAAAGATTATTTTATAATGATGTTAATAATCGAGAGAAAATATAACTATAATTTTAAATCTCTCTGAAATTTGTGATATATAAAATTAAGTTTCGAATAATTAATCGACATTTGAATTGCACGTGTTTCGAAATTTGAAATATTCATTTTTATATTCGATATCTTGAATATTCATTTAAAAACAAATCGAATGGAAATTTCATTAAAATATTAAAATTATTTTAGTTACGAAGTTTGAAGTATATATATTTAAAAAAGTTTCAAATTTTTTCTTTTACGTATATACCTATTATTCCATATTTAAAATATTTACAATTTTTCTAACTTAATTAAACCGATCGAGGATAGGATATATTTCGTATTAGATCATGTTCGAGAATACTTCGCTCTCGGTTACGATCGGCCAGCTGCACGAAGAGTTTCACCCTCGAAAAAAATCATACAATGGATCTTTCGTTCGTGCGGTGTCCCCCCTTGCGCTCGGAAAGGGGGAATCGAGTCTTTCTCTCTCCACCTTTCGAACGTATCCAACGCCATATATTATTCCCCGCCAAAATATTTCGACATCTCTGCAAACTTTCGACCGAAACTTGACTACAAACCAGCCAAGAGCGCTGGTTTAAATAAATTTGGCCGAAAGTTAGGTACGGATCGGTTTTCTCGCGTCTACCTAGCGTCTAACTAAAAACATCAGGAACCAAGTTCGGGAACCACGAGTTCGCCAAGATTGTCTCGGTCGGATGAGTCGCAAAAGCAAAATTCGTGGCGGGTCGCTTCAATTAGTCAAAGCGACGCGCGTACACGAAAGTACACGTAGAAAATGGGATGAAAATTTCGCGGAAGAAAATGTTGGAAGTTGTTAGCACGTACCTCGACTCGTATAGTCAGATTGTACTCCTTTATGCTCTCGTAATCCAGCTGATGGTTAACCTTGATGTCGGCCCAGGTGACAGACTTCTCGGCTCGTTGCTGAAGGTAAAACGTGTGAAACTTGTTGGTCTGAGCGGTGGATCCAGGCATTAGCCGGTAAAACACCGTCGGATTATTCTCGATTCCCGAGCTGTCGACACACACACCATACACAAATGTTACAAAATCGGGGCCGGCTCGCCGATCACCTCCGCATTTTTCGGAGTTCGATACTTAACGAACGGAAAACGGGAAACGGAAACAGAAACGAGAACGGAAATCACCTAGGGTAGACATATGTATATATATATATCGAAAAAGTACAAAAGCTAATTTATGGATATATTTTACCGACTGTATACAGAAGAAGAGAGGCTAGCCTGCGTTTACTCGTCTCGTCGCGAGACGTCGTCATGCGATTCGTTATTCCTTTCTTGCTTTTCTTTTACTCTTCTCTTTATTTCTTTTTGTCTTTTTTTTTCTTTTTCTTTTTCTTGCTTGCTTGCTTGCTTTCTTTCTTTTTTCTTTTTTTTTTGTTCTTTCTTTTCGCATTCTTTTTCCTCAAATATGAACGAACGAATTATCCCACTAATAGGACAAACTACAGATAGACATCGGCTGTATTATAGCTGCGATACGAAACTGGATTTTAGCTAATTGATTTTACCTAACGCGCGTATGCACTTCCCGTCGTCGCCTGTCTTTTCCGTTTCTGGCGTGTTTTACATACTAAAATGTGTTAGGTTGTCCATACCCTGGCTGGGTTACACCACGGATGCGGAAAGCGTTGTGAAGTCTTGTGTCGTTAGTCGCAGAGCTTACACATCCCTTATTCCCCATCTACTACCTTTAGCTTTCCTACGAGTAGCTTGGTAAGAGGGTGTCACGCTGCGTTGTCACGTGTCGAGAATGGCAAGTTTCGTTAGTGAATAACTTCACAAGCGAGCAACGCTTTTGCCTTCGTCATGAATTCTCGTCCATGCCGTGTTTCTCTCGTTTCGTGAAATTCGAAACAATTATCGAACAATTATAGGAAAGAAGAAAAATCGATCGATACTTTTTAAATAACCGAGTCAAACCAAACCGTGATTCGAAACCGACCAAAGTTATCAGAGTTAAGTTAAGTTAACTCGATAACAATTTTCAAAAGCCATCGATTTCTCGCGCATTATGTAAAAATATTCCACGAGATTTTCAGATTAAAAGCGTAATTTCATCGAGGCACGACACAAAATATATATACCACGAGAGTGGTCTTTCGAGTTCAAAGTGCAAGATCGATAGGGGGACACCTTGTCGTGAAACACTCGATTATGCGTGTCACGTTTCACATTTAACAAGGCTCTTTCACTTATG